CAAAAAAAAAAAAAAAAAAAACAACTTCAAGTCGCACAAAGTATCTCATGCTCAGGCTCCCAGCATGTGCCACATAGACTGCGTGGTTCTCCCCGTGGCCTGCGAAGCTATGCCCCCACCCTGTCCTTGCTGGGTGCTCTCTGGGACCATTGCTGGTGTCTCTCTGTTGTCGTGGTGTACCCAGGTCATGGGCCTGTGGTAACCCCACACAATGCATGAGGAAAGCCACTTGCTGGGCCTCACTGGCCCCTGAGGGGTCCCACCTGCCACATCCCACCCATGTTCCAGAGGGCAGCCCACACGCTCTCTCCCCAGCACCTGGGGACATGGTCCCCTCTGCTCCCGCTGTACTCCCTTCAGGGCTCCTCTTAAAACCACCTTCACCCAGGGCCCCTCCCACCTCACTGTCCCCAAGAGCAGGGTCTGCCCTTGAGAGCAGGGTCAGCCCTTGAAAGCACGGTCTGTCCTCTGAGGCCTGTCACAGGGACACTGAGGACCACACACAGGGTGCAGGCAGGCGCAACACAGGCCCGGCAGGAACAGGTGGTGGCCGAGACCGGGCCTGGGTCCCACCCCAGAGCCATGCACCCTGGCATAGGGCGTTCCTTTCCTGCTAGCTTCGGGAGCAGGTGCCCCCTCGACCCCAGCCTCAGCCCAGGCCCCACATCTGTGTCTGCCTGCAGTCTGAAGCGAGAAATGCAGAACCTCTCGGAGGAGTGCAGTCTGGAGCCCGTGACAGTGTCGATGGCCTACGTGTACTTCGAGAAGCTCGTCCTACAGGGCAAGCTCAACAAGCAGAACCGCAAGCTGTGTGCTGGCGCCTGTGTGCTGCTGGCTGCCAAGATCAGCAGCGACCTCCGCAAGGGTGAGGTGACACAGCTCATCGATGTGAGTAAGACCTGGGACTCGGGTTCCGGGCGGAGGAAGGGCACCTACCGCTCACCAAGTCTCTCCCTTGTGCAGAAGCTGGAGGAGAGATTCCGCTTCAACCGGCGCGACCTCATCGGGTTTGAGTTCACGGTGCTCGTGGCCCTGGAGCTGGCCCTGTACCTGCCTGAGCCCCAGGTGTTACCTCATTACCGACGCCTCACCCAGCAGTTCTAGCCAGCCCTGGGGCATCTGCTGGCCCTTTCCTGCCCCACCAGCAGGGGTGCTGCCTGCAGACGCTGCTGGTTCCCTGGAAAGGGATGCTGCTGTCATTCCAAAGTACACCACCCTCAGGGGTGGCTCTGAGGATCTTCCTGGATTTTTACACAAACTACACGTGGGTTTTGTTTTCTATGTTTTCTGGTGCCTGTGCCCAAGACCAGACTGGCATCAGGACCTCTGGCTGGCACCTCGTGGCGGTAAGTCCTGATCTCGCAGCACCCTCCTCCCTGGCCTGGCGTGCCCATGAGTGCAGGGCTGCATTTCCAGGTGTTGCTGAACACACGGAACTTTCTGTGGTTCGTTTACTTAACCATCACCTGGGATACTGGCTCTTTGGACATGGAGGCGCAGCACTGTAGTCCCTGATGGTGTCCCCATGTCCCTGGTTCCTGCCAGCCCGCACAGAGCTCCTCCAGCCTCCCACCTGCCATGCCCACTGTGGCCAGCAGGGCTTCTGGTGTCGGTTTAATCCTGCAAGAACAGATGCCTGACTTGTCTTGGTCTCATTTTTTCTCCAACTCTTCCTCAAGCATCGTGTCACTGTGAAATCTCGCTGCCGTGCCATGCATCTGACAGGGCACAGCAGACACCTGCCCACCCTGTGCCAGGACCCATCCTCTGCCCCTCGCCAAGAAGCCTGCCTGTTTGCAACACTCTGGGCCCCAGGACAACTGGCTGTGGGCTTTTTTTTTCCTAAGAAATATCGTGATGGGGGAAATAATATATTTATTGGAACTTGGGATTTGGTTCTGTGGGTCTTTAAGAGAACAAAAACTGGTTAAATGAAGCCTGCTGAAGTGGACTTAACCACACTTGACTTGGTGGAGGGACACCAACCACACCCCACACACCAAGGCCACACTGGGGCCCTCCCTTCCTACACTGCAAGCAGGTGGGCTTGTCCAGTGCAGTCCACCTTGCCAAGCAGCCAGCATCGTCCCCTGTGCGCAGGCCTGGGCCTGTAACCAGCAGGGCTCTCCTGGGTTGTTCCAGGTTTGTCTGCAGTTCCCATGGTGAATTTAGCCTGGCCCATTTTCCAGGTAGTTGCCTCACTAGACACTGAACAGCCAAGGACTATTGAGCTTTCTTCACAGGCCAGCTGGTGTCAGAAATGACCATCCTGGCTGAGCCACTAATCTCTCTTTCCTACTGCTGTCCTATAAACCTGCCCGTCACTGGAGGGGGCTCTGGGGCACCCCCACCTCCACCCTGTAACATGTTCCATTCTATTTGTGTGGACTGGTGCTTCTGCAGAGATGCCAATCCTGCTGGCCACATCTCAGACCAGCAGCAGCTCCACCCAATGCCAGCAGAGGTGCAGGGCAGCTGCCCACCTACCAGCTCTTTGCAGGCTGCATCCACTTGGCATTCACCGGGGCTCTGAGGACCAGAGACAGCAGGTGTGTGGGAAAAGCTACAAGACAGGACAAACCAAAGCCCTTCCTCTAACCTCATTGTGGAGTCTTCCTTGCTACAGCCAAAAGTCCTCCCAGGCTAAGGATGATCCCAAGCCTCACATGTGACTAACTGCTGCTAGGACACCTGGGTGTGACTCTCCCCTGAAAGACCATCTCTCCTGCCACCAGAGACCCACTGAGGGCACCTTCGTCCACACTATGAGCACTGCAAGAGTTCCCTGCCTAACCACCTGCCCCCCCAAGGCTTTGTACAAACAGCAAGCAAACACTGCTAAGCACAATATTGAAGTGTTCTTCATGGGATGAGATGTGGTCCTTTGCCATCCTGGTCTGTGTGGAGCCCTGCCCTTTGGTATGCCCACTAAGAACACCAGGAGCTGCCACTGTGTGGTATTCACGGATGACTGCAGTAAGTCAACGTCAAACCAAACCACAGGCTGATGTGTCCTCCTCTAGCATGAGTCCAGGCATCTGAGTGAGTCTAGGGCATCAGCTGGACCGTGACCAAATGAAACCAGACTTGGTGCCACATCCAGGGCATCAAGAACAGCTGTGATGTAAATGTACATAAGTGAGTGCCTGACCTCAGAGTGTGCAACAGTTGGGTTGCTTGTCATAGCTGTTTTTAAATGGATGGCGTGTTTGTGCTTTAAAGTAAACCTTAGTTTTGCAACACACCTCACAGCCTGTCTCCTCTAAATTCCCGGGTACACCACCCCGCCTTTGTCTTCCATTCACAGCAAAATGTCAGCCCTGTGCCCTCTCGAGTCCAGAGAACACCGACAGGCGTAGAATGCACCAACACAGAGGTTGTCACTGTTTATTTATGACAAGTGTTTCACACCTGTGGTCTCTCCAGTCAAAAGTTCCTAGAACAAGGAGAAAAGGACAATGTCAAAACCATATCTCAAAGTCCTAGGCCTCTCTGCCCAAATGCAAGGCCCCCTTACTTTGAGACGATGCCATCGGCCTTGGCCAATCGGAGAATGGAGTCATCAGACTCGCCCTTTAAAAGAGAGAACCACACTGAGAACATTCCCACACCACAAGATGGCAGAGGCACACGGCCACACCTCCAGCAGAGCGTACAGAGCCGGTGTGGAAGGGCAGCAGACTCTGCAATGGTGACCCCCAGTGACTGCAAGAGGATGGGGAAAGGGCTGTGACAGCTGGCACACTGGGTCTGTTTACACAAAGCAGAGCAATCTTTTTCCTAGATTCCTAGGCACCGCCCCCCCCCCACACACACACACACAAGCAGCAGGCAGGCAGCCAGTACAAGCCACCTGGCTCAAACCTACTCTGCCAACAAACCAACTAAGGCCCAAGAAAGGGAGAGCACCAACACTCACTCAGATGCCCAGGCCCAAGTCCACAATGGCCCAGGGAAACACTCACCATCCTGCGAATGGCCCCACAGATAGCATAAGTTTTAAACTGGCCATTAAACCTGCCGGTAACCTTGTCAACCTGTAAAAGACAAAAAGTGTCACAAACCACTCACCCAGCAACTTTAGCTCTAACCTGGGGTTTGGAAAACATCAACCTGCAAAACCAGCCCATCCCTGTACCTTCATCCTCAAGGATCCCTCCCCAGCGCAACAGGTATCTGAGCTTCCCGCCACCCAGGGTCCGCTCACCTCTGCCACATTCATCTGGATGGACGCATGGTCCTTGGCACCGATGATGCGGTTGCTGGCGGAGCTGCGGAAGGGGCACGCGTGAATGGGACATAAATGTGGGACTACAGACCGGCAAGAAGGATGTGGGGGAATGGACGAGAAGGGGACCTGGAGAGAGAAGGTGGGGGTAAAGTATGGGAGAGGAAGGATGTGGGGGAGATGGACGGGAGAGGGGGAGGTGGGGAGATGGGCGAGACGGGGACGTGGAGACGGAGACAGGAGAGGAGGGGAGAATGTACGGAGAGGGGGAAGCAGAGAGAACGGACGGGAGGATATGGGAGACGAGGTGAGGGAACAGATAAGAGAGAACGTTGGGGGAATGAACGGGGGAGTGAGGGGAGGACGGAAGAGGGGACGCGAGAGGCGCAGGCGGAAAGGCGCTCACCATTTCCGCGGCACGTAGAGGTCCACGAACTCGCCGGCGTCGTTCTGCATGTCTAGGCCGCGCCTGCGAAGCCACCGCAGTGAGGACGATCAGACCCACACCCTGACGCCCCGCGCAGGTCTGCCCGGTCGGGCAGTACCCTCACCGTGTCCCAATCTGTCCTCCCGCCCGACCCCCGTGCCCGCCCTGCTCCCGGCCCGCAGCCCGCGCCGCACACCCCACCTCACACCACCACGCTGCAATCCCGTGGAGAAAGGAAGCAGCGCCGCCCGGGGCAGAGATATCGGCGGGTGGGGCGGGGCCTCGGAGAGTGCTTCCGGGTCATGCCGCCGCGCGAATCGGCTTAGTACGTTTCTGCCGGCCGCTGGCCTCCCGCCTAACGCGCTTCTGCTTCCGGCAAGCAGTGTCCGGCCCGGCCCCGCTGAGATTTGGGTGTGAGCTCACCGGGCGGTGGTCGCCCGGCGCACACGGCGCTGTTGAGCGAGACGTGGCGTCTCGATCGGGCCCGAGGGACGTGCCCGATGGACGCGGTCGCCCCCTGAGCACCTCGGGAGCCGCGAGGGAGCAGCTGGGAGAGGAGCCCGGGCTTGGAGCCGGGGCTGCCTACTGGTCCCACCCCGGCAGCGGGCGAAGGAAGCCCCGGGTGTTCAGCCGCGGGGAAGCGCAGGCCACTCTCGAGGGCGGAAGCCCCCCCGGCCCACCCCGGAGCCCAGGAAAAGTCCCTGACCGCCCTGGGAGCCCATCTCTCACCAATCCCCAGGGTCAGGATAGGGGAAACCGCGTGAACCGAGGCAGTCTTTCTAGCCTTGGCCGTATTGTCACAGCTACGGGTGATACCCTTTGACCCCGTAGACCCACTCCTGGGAACTTGATCAAGGAAATAACCGAAGGTGACACCAAGATGGGCCACGAGGCTGCTCGTTGATTGGATGAAAGAAGCGGAGAATGGCCCGGCGAGGCCTTAGGGAGTCCACTGGGCAGCTCCAAGCCGGAAGGGGAGGCAGGGCCTGCGTTGGATCTTCTCTGGGCGAGAAGGCGGCCAGGATGTAAAGGCCAACTCCTCAGGAGCCAAGGCCCGAGCAGAACGAGGGCCAGACCCCTTGCCTTGCCCCAACCCAGCCCCTCACCAAGGACCCTTCTTTACTCCTGCTCCTCTAAGCTCCCCTCATTCCACCACAGAGCAGTGTGGACTGAGATGCCAGGAATGGAGAAAACAAGCATCCCAGCCTGTGGAGCGAACATCCCAGGACCACTGCCTCTTGTGTGTGGTGGCATGCACACAGTCCCTCAGAGAAAATGTCTGCTTGGGACTTTGTCTTCCAGATGAGACGGACAGATGTACTCAGGTAGTGTGCATACTGCCTCCCCTCAGGGCTGCCCAACGCTGAGCCACAGGGGCCTTCAGAAACTCTGGGACCCGCCCTGCCCCTTTGCCTGGACAGCCTGCCTGTGCTCCTTTGCCCATGCTCCATCTCCCGTGCCACTGCCCTGAGCCAGGTCTGTGTCTGCTCTACTGCCATGAGCTCTCCGAGGACCAGTTCTTCCTTCACATGCCAGGCTGCTTGTCATTAGACACTCCCCCATGGAACCGCTTGCCTGATCATCTCCTCACTGGCCTGGGAGCTCCCTGGGTCTGCTCTCCCTGTAACACTGCACACAGTGCATGCAAGGGACAGGGTGAGTGCAGTGCCAAGGAGCCCCCACAGTTCAGCTGCACAGCACTGTGTCCGCGTCATGGCAAGCTTCATTGCGACTATAGGAGGGCTCAACATCTGGGCCTGGTTGGAGCTGCAGCTAGAAACCAGATGTTCATATGGGCAGCGAGTCCGTGGTGGCGCCCCTGGACTCCATCAGCCAGGCATCAGAACTGAGGTTACTGAGGCCACTGTCTTCCAGGATGGCCACTCTGTTCATGCAGGCCCTGAGATATGTGCCTTTCCAGAGCCCCAGCATGAGTGCAGAGCTGACTTGTTTGTGTTGTAGTTGACATACGTGCAGCAGGGCCGCCTACACGTCTGTGTGCAGGTTGATCCCACAAGGCCTAGGAGTCAAGAGATTCTGTGTAGCTAGCTGCAAGGCCAGAGACGGGCAGGGAGTACCAAAAAGGAGAACACTCCAGAGGTCTGCAGCATGTCTTCCTCAGGTGTTCAGCAGAGTTGTTAGTGCATGTCCCCAAGGCTAGGGACAGAGCCATGCCAAAAGATTATGCAGTGCTCACATAGGACTGGAGATAGTGCCTGTTCCCATTGCCTAGACTAGACAAGCACAGTTCACAGGGCATTGGGTGGAATACTCAGAAAAATCTTGCCTTGGTAATGGGGAATAATTGTTCCTGCCCTAATGTTACCCTGGCCCCAACAATTACAAACTATAGGACAGATCTGCGTGACCTTGGATTTAGTAACAGGTCATCTCAAGTGTGTCACCAGAAGCATAGACATCAAAAGAAAAAACTAAATTAGACTATTAAAATTTAAAACTTAGCTGGGCACAGTAACTCATGCCTATATTCCCAGCACTTTGGGAGGCCAGGGCGAGAGGATTGCCTGAGCACAGGGGTTCGAACTCAGCCTGGGCAACTTGGCAAGACCTCATCTCTACAATAAATTTAAACTAGCCGGGTATAGTGGCACACACCTGTGGTTCCAGCTACTTGGAAGGTAATTCTTCCAAGAATTACCTGAACCCAGCAGGTCAAGGCTGTGGTGGCCATAAGTACGTGTCACTGGGTAACAGTGAGACTCCACCTCAAAAAAAATTTAAAACTTGTGCATCAAAGGACACTACAGGATGACAAGACAACCCACAGAATGGGTGAAAGTATGCAAATCATTTCTCTGATGAGGGTTTAATATCCAAAACATATGTCCCTACAACTCAATAACAAAAAGACAACTAAATTTTAAAGTGGACAAAGGACTTCAATAAATATTTCTCCAAAGAAGACACACAAATGGCCAGTAAGCACAGGAGAGGTGCTCAGCATTGTTAATCATCAGGGAAATGCAAACCATAATGAGATACCATTCATCCCTATGAGGACGACTATAATTAGAAAATATAATGTGTTGGTGAGGATATGGAGGAATTGGAACAAAATTGACAAAAACAGTTAGCTTGGAAAGACCAAATGTACCAGTGATAGTGGGAGTGTAAAATGGTACATGTGGTGAAAACACTTTGTAGGCCGGGCTCAGTGGCTCAGCCTGTAATTCCCGCACTTTGGGAGGCCAAGGCAAGAGGATTGCCTGAGCCTGCGGGTTCGAGACCCACCTGGGCAACTTGGTGAGACCTCATCTCTACAATAAATCAAAAATTACCTGGGCATGGTAGCGCACACTTGTAGTTCCAGCTACTTGGAAGGCTGAGGCAGAAGGATCACATGAGCCTAGCAGGTTGAGGCTGTGGTGGCCGTGAGTGTTCCATTGCACTCCAGCCTCGGCAACAGAGTGAGACTCCTACTCAAAAAAATAAAAATATCTTTAAAATACCCTTTAAGCAAAAATAATAATAATGGAACTTAAAGTATATAACACATGTGTAGGCCGGGCTCGGTAGCTCAGCCTGTAATCTCAGCACTTTGGGAGGCCGAGGCGAGTGGATTGCCTGAGCCTGCGGGTTCGAGACCTCGTCTCTACAATAAATCAAAAATTAGCTGGGTGTGGTAGCACGCACCTGTAGTTCTGGCTACTTGCAAGGTTGAGGTGGAAGGATCGCCAGAGCCCAGCAGATTGAGGCTGCAGTGACTGGGAACGTGCCACTGTACTCCAGTCTGGGCGACAGAGTGAGACTCCAGCTCAGAAAAGTAAATAAATAGCACATGTATAAGTAAAATGTGTGTCAACAATAGCATACAGACCAGAGGGGAACTAGTGGAAGTATGTAATAGCGTGTATGGTTCCTGCACTGTGCGGAAGTGGTGTCTCAGCCTGAGAAGGGGGAACCCAGGGATGTTATTAAACATCCTCTCAGGCACAGGACAGCCTTCCACACACAGAACTGTCCAACCCAAAATGCCAGATTGAGAAACCATGCCCTAAAGTGAAATAGCTAAAATATAGCTAAGGCCACAAAGGAGAGAAAATGGAAAGATTCTCAATCCAGAAGTGATAAAGAGAGGAAGACAAGACGGTGCAGTGGCTCACGCCTGTAATTCCAGCAGGCTGAGGCAAGAGGATTGCCTGAGCCTAGAGTCTCAAGACCAGCCTGGGCAACTTGGCAACACCTCATCTCTACAATAAATTATAAAATAATTACCCGGGCATGGTGGTGCATGCCTGTGATTCCCGCTACTTGGAAAGCTGAGGCAGAAGGATCGCCTGAGCCTAGCAGGTCAAGGCTGTGGTGGCCATGAGCATACCACTGCACTCCAACCTGGGAAACAGAGTGATACTCCAGCTCAAAAAAGAAAAAACATCTTGGGCATGATGTGATTGCCAGCCAACAGCCAGACCCATGGCCCCCCAGAGCAATCCCCCCATCGTTAGCCATTTGAGCTGAAGCTCCACTCAGCCATGGAGCAGAGATAAGTCATTTCTGCTGTGCCCTGCCCGACTTCCTGACCCACACAATAATGGGTATCACAAGATATTTATTTTTTTTTTAAAAATAAGCCGGGCTCGGTAGCTCAGCCTGTAATCCCGTGCTTTGGGAGGCTGAGGTGAGTGGATTGCCTGAGCCCGCAAGTTCGAGACACGCCTGGGCAA